TGCAGAGCACACACAAAAAGAGAATATGAACGTCTCTGCAGCCTGCTCCAAAAACCACACCTGTCTCCTAAACCAAAGACATCTAACAGTACGAACACATGAACCAGTTACTGCAGGAGAAGGCAGGCTATGAACTGGGAGTCCTTCAACTGTTCTCTAGGAGCTGCTGAGGAGTACTGCCAGCCCTGCAATGGAAAAGCAATCAGAGTACCCTCTCATTTATCTGGGGGGAAATCACATGCTTATGGGCACACACTAGCGAGTAGTCGACATATAGCTCGCACACCTGCATGTTCTATGCCTCCTATATGCAAAGGCAGAGATTCTCATGCCATTTAGATAGGCTCATCCAGATCACCCAGCCGAGACAGCTGAACCCTTCCTTGCTGCACATGCTGATCGCCTCTACTGCAGGCACGGAGCTGCTTCTCCGGCTGGCTAGTCTTAAAACTCAGTTAGCATCATGGATTCCAACAGCAAATTTCTCCTTGTTTGTAGGACATTTTTGAAGCTGACAGGTACTGCTGTGCCTCAGGGACACTGAGCAATACAAGGCTTGTCCTCACAGGTAAGCAGTCAAGCTGTTATGATGGTTTCCCCAACCAGGGTATTCCCTGCTTTCTACCCAGCTGCCAGGAAGCTGAAGCCAAAGGAAAGGACAAACTGAGAAATGTCACTCTCTCCAAGCCAGCCAGATCACAGACCAACTTCCCAAGAGCACAAGGGTCTCTGTTACCCTTGAGGTAATGCACCAGCCTCTGAGAACTAACACATTTTAGTCTAAAGAGTCTTTAAGCTCACCATGAAGTAACCAGGCAAAAGATACGCAGAAGGTGAGAGCAGCAGTCCCCTCTAGATTTAAACTAACGTCCATTTCATCCAAGAGAAGCTTCTACAGAGATCTGCACTAGCACCAGAAAGTGCTGGGTACCTTCCCCTGGGCATGGGGCTGCAGAAGTGAATCTCTACAATCACCAACAGCCACACATGCGCCTTCTCCAGACTTCACTGGTCAACTGTGGTGATGATACAGCTCCCAATGAAACTCAGAGTTCAACAGTTCAGGACAAGAGGCAGGCAGCAGTTGGGAGCTACATGTTCCCAAGATCTTGGCTGGGAAACGGTATAGTTGAGCATATCTCCCAGCACAATTACCTGGGAAAGTCTACTGAACGCTCCTTTGAGACAGGTTAGGACAGGCAGCTCGTACTGATAAAGCCACCAGCTTTTAAACGGAGCCCAAACTATTCCAGGAGGAAGCTTCCTGGCTTGCAGAGGGAAAGGCTTCCCTTTGGTCATGGAGACCAGCTAATCCTGAAGGCAGGCCCATGACACACAGAGAGTTGTGGCTCTCAGATAAGCAGATGCTCTACAAACAAGCAATGCCTCTGCTCAGGGAAAGCCTCCCCTCCCTCCTCTCACCCCAAAATGTATGAACATAACATTCCTAGCAAGAGTTTTGCACGAGCGGGAGCACCGATACTATCAGGATCAGTGGTTGTTTCAGCAGAGAAGCAAGAATAACTTGTTTAGCACTTCTAAGGAGCCATGCTGCAGGCTGGGGACTAGGAGAAAATTTCTGCTTTTGACAAGGGTCCAGAAAGTTTCTCCTGTTCTAGGATTTAGCATCAATTTCGGAGAGTGGAAAAAAAAAAAAAGAAAAAAAAAGTGTTTTGTTTTAAAGAACACCTTCTTCCCAATCAAGTGCTGGACACTGCAGTAGAATAAGTTTTGAATTTATACCCAGTGCAGCTTTTGCACATGCTTCTTCCTTGAATGTAGCTGTTAGCACCAAAAGAAATTGAGAAAAAGGAAAAACTACCAGCCCAGGCAGGGGCAAGCTGCATTCCTATTAGTGCACTAAAAATGCACTCGCTCCACTCAGAGCTATAAGAATGCAGCCCAGATTTTTTTTTTTTTTTTTTCCACTAGAATTTGAAAAGAATAAATCAAAGTAATTATAGCACTGCCCTTTCAGAATTGCTGCAAAGCTGAAATCAGAGCTTCAAAAGGTTTTTACTAGCAGCCAGCAAATCCAGAGAAGCAGAGATGCCTACTTTGGGCAGCTGCGCTAGCCCCAAGACGTGCTTCGTGAGCCACTTCCACATGGAAAAATAGCCTGGGTTGAATTAAAGCAGCTTATAAAGTCTATATTTGTATCTCACTTCCCCCAGCCCTTATTACCTACACATCTGCATGAAATCAGGATCATGCCTTCCAAAAGGTTCCCTGGCTTCTGGTGCAGCCCCCCACACCCATATAACATTTATTGCCCAAGAACGCCAAAGCAGAGACAGACAGCTCATCACTCCTATACTACAGGGCAATTAAAGTTTGATTTATTAAATAAAAAGCCAGCAGTGGAAGTGAGAGCTGAATCAGTGCTTTGACTTTTGACATAAAGGTTTAGTGCACTGAGGACTGCTGCCACCCTAGCAGGGCAGCACGGTGTCGTCAGCTACGATTCGTTAGCAAGGTAATGACTGCTGACTACTGATCCTGGTTTCGTGCAGAGGTAGGTAGCGTTCATGAACAAAAGCTTCTTCTCTGCCATCCGAACAGAGATCCGTCTCTCAGTGAACCATGGACAGGGTGGATTAAAAAATTTGTATTTAAAAAAAAAAAAAAAAAATTCTTTGAAGTTGACATTTGCGTCAACTTTCAGAAACTCTACCTAGGAATTGTTCAAATTAAATTTAAAAAGCAATTAGGTAGTTCATGTTTGCTGCATGAGCTTTAAAGAACAGACAACAGCACTGGTGACAGTCACTGGCTTAGTGCACAGCACTGAATTTCAGTAAAATGTGTCCTGAAGTGAACCAGAAACTGTGTTTTCCTCCTCCAATCAACCGACGGTTCTGAGAGGAGAGTTACCAGTTACAGGAGACTGAAAACACACTGTCCAGAAACAGTTAGTTATATTCGGTAACTATAATACCTCCATTAAGCAATTATTATTCAAGGCACAACTTGAAAGACAGTCTCTTAAGAGTCCAACATAGAGCATTTTAACCAACACGAATGCTACACTGCTGGTCTCGGGTGATTCAGTTGCATTTCCATCCCAACACAGCTTGGTTCAAGACACAGGTTAAAAAAAAAATAATTATTTTTTCTTTTTGGAATAACTTTCTTTTTTGCCATTTTGAGATAACAAAATGCAAAACTAGGAGTCTGAAAAAATACATTTTAAACTTTACAGACTTAAGCTCTTCGTAAAATGTAATACAAAGTTTGGTAAGAAGCTTACACCAAGTTGTAAATACAGATGTTTCATTGTTACTGACCAGTGACAGACAAATCCTCCTTTGAGGTAAACCAACAAGTGAATATCCAAAACAAGATTAAAATCAAGATTTAAAATAAGACTTGCTGATTAAAGCCATAGCTGAAGTCTGGCAATGTAAATACATCCACCCTGGCCATAGAGGCCCTCGGTTCTCCCCATTAGCCCATAGTTTCCTTCTTAGGTCAAAAAACAAGGAGCACTGCAGGGCAGCACAAGGGACACTGGCCACCTCTCCACGTTGTACCTGTATTAGGAAAAGAGGACTTCAATCTCCAAGGCTGCCATTCCAACACCTTCACTAGCACTAAATTCACAGGAAACCTAAGGACCTAAGAGACAGAACACGGAAACTTTATCAGGATTTCTAAGGCATCCTGCTGCATTCAGCTCTCCTCAGGAAAAACTGGATCTAAATAGAAAGTGTTTTCAGAGTTTGTCAAGAGATATTTTTCAAGCACTTGAAAGGAGCTAATTTATTGCCTCCCCAAAATGAAGGCAGCCATAGGCTTCAACAGGAGAAGGGGCCTAAACAAAAATTCTGGATCAGGATATCCTCCAGTTTGGAGGAACGCACATCTGGATGGGAGCATTGAGCTTGTCTCATGTCTAAAAATACACTATTCATTAGTGGGATGTTTATACTTTGCATAAAACACATAAGCCATTTGATGGTTTGTCATACATATTTCTCCCTGCTGAAACCTCTGCAGAACCCTTCAATAAAACATAAGTTTACCCCCAAATCCAGAGCACCACTGCAGAAGCCGTCAGCACTACGTGCACAGAGCCGCTGATCAGCCAAAAGCCTCTACTAGAGGAAGCCAAGAGCTTCTGCAGCCTGCATCTTCCTTTACACATAAAACAAAGAGAATTCTTTGCCGCATGGCCATCGGAAGCCTGCCATAACGTACCAGCAGCTCACAGGTACCCAATTCACACGAGGGAGAGCACGTTTCAGCCACCTTAGATCTTAATAGAGATGAAATTTTTCGTAGTCTTATGGGATACAGTGTTGATTGGAATGGTTTAAATGTGCTGGTTTAGATAAAAAGGTTTTGAAATCTATAGGGATGCACTACCAGGATATGAGAAAGACTCCACAGATGATGTTTTGACCATTCTTTCTACAGCTAGCCAAAGGCTAATATGTGCACCTGGCAGGAAACGCACAGACAGGGTTTCAGGCAGTAAATCCTCCTGATAGCCATCTCACAACAGCCTGTGTTGAGGTGGTCATTTATCCCAAAAGGGGCTTTGGGTGGGCCTCAATTGCACAGATTCGCTATACAAGTGTCAGGCTGAACTTTACTTTGGTGGCCCAGATGCTCCCATCACAGGGAACACAGGAATCCAGTGAGTTAGGTGATCTGGAAAAAAAACAGGTGGTATTTGAAGGGAAGGGTGGTTGTTTTTTTTAATTTCATAGAACATCTTGCTGACAAAGCTGTGAGTTCCTCTCCTTTGTTGCACACAGAATGGCTTCTCCACACCCAAAAAACAAACCAAAAAGGGAACAAGAGAGGATATTGGGTATGTGGGAGAGGGAAGTGAAAGTAATATTCAAAGCTATCAGAATATATAAAACAAAACAGAAAAGAGATTTCCCTCTCCAGCACCATTGGCCTCGGGGGTGATTAACAAGAGATGTTTGACAGGCTTATCACCGGAGAGCTCCTGTGCCCCTCCACACACCCACAAGCCCAGGACTTACACAGCCATGCCACCAACAAACTCTTCCGTAGCCTGGCAGTAGATTGTGATGGCAACACGGGCATCCGCATCAAACGTGAACTCCAGGCTGTACAGGACTTTCTGCTTCCCATTCTCCTCAGTAGGACTGTCAACATCATCTTTATACCTGAAAGACAATGTCAGAGAATTAGAATGTGTATTTAGGAGATATCATCAAGATCATTCCGGAAAACAGGACAAGAGTACTCCAATCTAGGTGTTCTGGGCAGTCAAGGCATGATGGACTTCCACCTCAGGCTTCCCAGGAGATCCATTCTTTCCTCTGAGGAAGGTTCTTCAAAGATTTGACTGAAGTCATCGAAGTGAATTATGTAATGACGGTGTTGAGGGATCTCAGTCTTACAGGGCCAGGACACAGAATGAGACAGGAAGCTGAACTCTTGAACATCAAACCCTTAGGTGAAGAAACATTCTCCCTCCTTTTAAATCTTCACATTAAGCTCAGTATTTGGGCTAAAGAAATCCTGCATGGGCCTGAGAAGTCTAAATCCTAGTTCCTTTAACTCTGCAAATGAAATGGTGCACAACAGGCATAAAACACAGTTTCTCTAACACAAAGAACTCCTGAAGCACGACAAAAGGTACCGCCAGTATCACACAGAAGACGACGTTCAGATCCAAAAGCATCCAAATATAGGAACTTCAAATACCCTTAAATGTACAGATCACCAGCTAAACCTTCGATGCTGCTAATGACTGAAGCTTGCACACATTTACTGTGATGAACAAAAATTAGCACATTCAACTGCATAACGAACACATGACAACCAATACAAGAATGAGTTTAAAAGTTATTTCAATTAACATAAAGGTGAGTCGTAACTTGACTATGGGCTACTGTACAGTTGGATGCCACTGTGTGATCACTACTACCCGGCACTACTCCTTCTCCCTACTGCTGGAAAAAGCAGGTAACAAATCCGGTGAAGAAAGTGGTGTGAAGCAAGCTCCAGGGCAGCAAGCTATGGCCGTGAGTGAGTTATGGTGTGCCAAGAGCGGCCAGGGAGACCAGCAGATCCTGGAACAAGCAGCCAACACAAGACACCATGAGAAGATCTCCCCTGCCTTGAAGTGCAAAGTGACAGAATGGACGTGATTCAGTGAAGGGCAGAAGCAGATTCTCATACATAAATTCAAATCCCACCGCAATCCTATGACTGTAGGTACCACCGTTAGTTCACACACCGTGCAGGAATGGTGAATGCAGCAGGTTGCCTTTGAGAGGTGTTCAACACTACTTGATTTACCACCCAGCTCCAGCCTCACTTGTCTATCAGTATTACCTTAATTGCCACGATGCCTGGGCCAAAGCCAAGCAGCTAAACTGTTCAGGAAAAGCTTGGCACCATCTCTGACTTCACGGTATCAGTCAGCCTCTCCCTTCATTAAACAGCCTCAATGAATGTGCTACACTGTTGAAAATACGCAGAAATGGGCTAGGCATACCTCCTCAATTCGATCTAAAAATTGTCAAAGGAATCCTTATTTACCGAGTTCACCGAGATGTAATAACTGTTGCCTAATTAAGAGGGTTCCAGCATGAATTTTACTTAACATCACACTGAACAAGAACGAAATGTTCAGCTTCAGCAATTTAATACAGAAGGTGCAAAACAGAATATGAGAGCAGGATAATAAAATATCTAACGTGCATACTTGTACTAATGTTACCCTAGCGAATCACTATAGCATACACTTGCATTCCTGTCTGTAGGACTTGGAGAGCTCCAAACAAGACTTTTGCCAGAGGTTCACCTAGGTCAGAACAGCAACTCAAGTTAGAATACACCCAACATGCTAGGACAAAAAAGACAAATCTCAAGAACTGAGAGTCTGAACATCTGCAGCAGCCTGGATATAATATACAGTATAGAGCAAGATGGTATTTTCACACACGCTAGTTGCATTCAAAGAATAAAATCATGGCACTTGAAGGCTGTAAACAAGAAACACTCTAGTCAGCAGGGCAGGTCTGCCTAAAAAACATGGGGGTAGCATCAACATTTTGTGCTGGACTGACCCAAGAACACAGATGGCAACAATCCGCTCACAAGTGTTGTGTGTGTTCAAGAAAGCAGGAGCACAGCCTTCTGGAAATTATCTCTTGCTGCACTGCTCTCTGTTGATCTGAGGTTGGCAGCGAAGGATCCGGGCTACCATACGCTTGCCACTTCTTCCAGAAGAAGTAGGGTGGGGGAGAACCAGCACCCTTTCCAGGCAAGCACCGATGAAGGCTACTTCATAGACCTATACTCACTGCATATATAGGTACGTATTAAAATAGAGATGCCCGGCACATGCATGCATTACAGATTGACAGCACAGATCTAGATACCTATAATAGCCCCAAGTAAAGAGCTTGAAGACCTGGGGGTGGGGGCAGATCACGCAAAAGCAACATGTCATCAGTAAAACTACTGCCTCTTTTGTCCTCTCAGTGAAGTCACAAAAAGCATGCGGGTTCCCAAATCACCCTCCTGCTCCCAACTTCACCTCTGTACCTCCCTGCCAGCACTCAGAACACATTTCCATCCTTTCAAGAAGAAAAGGGGTTAAACCTAGACTAGAATAGATATGTTGCCCTGGGAAACCACTGAGGGGCCACTACCAACTGCAGTGCCTGGAGAGAAGGTTTCTGGAGGATGCATCTGCAGGGAAGTAGGAGAGCGAGAGCCAGAGCCCTGTCTGCCTGGAACAGCATCACTCGAGCAGCAGGCAAGGTATACGTGCCTAAATGGTGACGGTCACAGCAAGGCTGTGTACACATCCTCCTGTTGCAACACGCCTGGTGCTGGAGGTTAAGAAAATCATCTGCCACATAGCAAGGAGTTCAGGTGAGAAAAGACTGCATAAGCAGCTATGCCAGCTGGTAGCTGGACCAAGGAACAAGCAAAGACTACTTCAGTGCATACTTGGAGAGGCAGAAACGTCTCATGTTCCACCTTAAGGTGCAGGAACAGTGGGATGTAACTTCAGGGAAGTAACAAGACAAAAATTGCACATTTCGCATTCCTTCTTTCTTTGCAAGGGACGTGGCAGACAAGCAGGTGGTTCAGGAGTGGTTCAGGTGGTTCAAGAGCTCTTCTGTCTCCACCTGCACTTGAGGTTCACAGTGTACATTTAGTCAAGCCCTACAGACAGCATTGATGTGAGGTGGCCACAGATGCATGCACAAATTTAGAAATCAGTGACTTTGCTAGGTGTGCCCTTTGGTCATGCACACAAGTTAATCACAATCATGGGTATAGAGCAGAAGAGACTGACCACCTTCGAGAACAAATAGCTGATCCAACGTTATGATGAAAAAGGCAAAGCAGGATGACCAAGGGAGCTGAGGCCACCTGGTCTGACATCACTTCTGGATAAAGCAATGGAAATGCTGGAACTTTTTGGTTGTCTGTTAAAGAATTAAAATATAAAAGTATAATTAACAGCAGCCATGACAATTTTATAGAAAAAGGTCAAGTCGAACCCAATTTCGTCCTTTGAGGAGATTAAAAAGTTTGACCAACAACTTAGACATGCAGGATAAATGCTAAGTATTGCTTAACTTAGTATTGTGAGATACACATTACAACAGTGTCAGAGCAGGCATTAAATGAAGTATAAATTAGCTGACATCTCTATCAGCATTGACTTTCATGGGAGAAGACGATCAGCAAATGGAGGCTTTCCTGTCTGGGGGTTCTGCAGAGATCTGTGCAGTTTTAACGCTATCCAGGGCTGCAGAGCAGGCAGTCCCAGTACCCTCACCATCACCACCTCCACCGTGGGCTGAACAGCTCCAAGGACCAAGGTCAGCCCCTCTGTGCTGGAGAGGGAAGAGAAGGGATTTCCATTCTCTCACTCACAGTGACTCACCTGCTTCCCCTTGGTCCCTACCATACACCTTCTTAGGCCCTTATCCAAAATGCTCGGTGGTCTCACTACCCTCCATGATATCACTGCTGCTACAGACACATTCCCAAACCACTACAGCTGCTGATTCCTTCAGCACTTTTGTTCCAGGATGCTATCTGAAGCCCAAAGCCAATGCTGAAGCAGAGAGGCTGTCGCAGGATGCAACTCTTCCATGAAACACATTGCCTCGTGAGTTACCTTCCTCCTGCAACTGGAAGTGTTTTCAAGGTAAGAGTAAACAGCCAGTACCAGCCTGTCAGGTACTTCAGCTCTGAAATAAAGCTTCCAATCCAGGGCCAAAAGAGGAACACCAGACAGACACAATGCAGTCTTTTTCTGTTAGTGGTTAACAGCAAAACTCATGCTACCCTCCTCTGAGGTTCACAGAGTCTCATCCTGCTAGAAATCAAGCACTTGCATGAGGTGTTGAAGACTCAGAACTTCAACACCAATACCCACAGGTTTACTGTTTCCCTCCAAAGCTGCTGTAAGTATTCAGGATTTGGCAAAGCTCAGAATTCTGTCTGGGCAGAGCTGGGCAGGAAGCCCAGAGTGGACATTTCCTCATATTCCTCCGTAAAGCCCTACGCTCCAAATTATGGATCAACACGCTCTTCACAGGGGAACAATGAATTTTCAATTAAACACAAGGAAAAACAAAAAGCTTGTGAGGACTTTACCATCAGAACCTACTTTACACCTAGACACTTGGCTTGGCATCATTTTATTTGGCAGAGGAGGTGGTGATGTTCTGGAACTAGTTCTGGAAAGAATGTGCGAGCCTCAACCACTGGTTGTGAATAAGCCAAGCTGGAGAGGGCACAAAGTGTCTTTACGTGCACAGAGGAAGAAAGGAAAAGCCTCTAGTCCAGAACGGTAGAAAAGCACGAGACTGAATGTGCCCTTGGGGACAGGCAATTAAAATCTCATTTGGGGTCTACATCAGTACAAAATTAAATAGAGAAACGTTGGGGGCGTTGTTGTCAGCACTAACACAGCCGCAGCAGCACAAGAACCTGTAAGAGCTCATGAGGCAGGGAAAGAACCAACAGTACCAGGAATTAGACGGATGCAAACCTAGACACTAACAAGATACAGGGACACTACATTTCAAATAGTCCAGAGCTGCAACTCTGCTTGGGGGGGACAGGACGCACAATCACAGAAAGCAGAATGACAGAACAGTACGCACTAACCCCCACGAACTCCTCCATTCACAGCAAGGCCTCTCCCAGTGAAAAAGCCACTTCCCATTTGGCTTCTGAGAGATGTTACACTGTTTACGTGGATGCCTGCGAGGAGAACAAAATACCCTTTCCATAGCAAGTGTGGGAGGAAAACAAGACTTTTTCCTAGAGAAGTACTTCCCCCTTTAGCTGAAAAAGCCAGACAGCATTCAGAACAGTTTACCAATCGTTACTTTTTCAGACGTTCTTCCTTCTTTTCCTGTTCGATCGGTTTCGAAAGCACAGGTATTGCTCATTAAAAAAAAAAAAAACAAAACCAAACCAAAACAACCTTCAGTTGTCACATAAAAACAAACTGAGGGTTTTGTGTGTTTATGACTCAAATTACTCACGTTACACCATGCTCTCAAGAACCACCCTGGCTGAGAGTTGAAGCTGGCCCCCTGCCAGTACTCCAGCCCAGCGCCTGAAATGCAGAATTCAGAGCGACTCAAGGATCTTTGAGAAATGCTCTGCCTGGACATTCGCCCAGTCGCTCAGACCAAAACAAAGCACTGTATGCTGGGCCCCTGCACTTCAGCCATCTGTTTGAAAGAGGGCAGCCGCAGGTCGAAGTGTTAGCCATTGCATTTAATCCAGCTAGTGTTGTGTTAGATCTCAGCACAGAGCAGCGAAAGGTAACCGATCTCCATGATTATCCAGACCTCCTTCCCTATGCCATAAGCCATCTAAATGAATGAATAACACTAGGACCAAACTTTATCTTGGCAGCAGGAGAAACCCAAGGAAGTTTCACTCAAGGCCAATCACTCTTCCTGGCCTGTGATTTGCACCAGAATCAGCTACTTTCTGGCTTTTCCTTGCACAAGAATCCAGAAAGGAATCTGTCTGTAGGGTTTATTGACTGACTAATATCTTCCGTTCATGCTAATGATTTCATGGCTTTGTTTACCACTCTAGTCTGTCCTGTAGAGACAGATACATTGCTGGTCCTGTTTGGAAACACAGATTGCTCAAGTCCAGCGATAAGGAGCCTATAAACCACCTGAAATCTCTGATCACAAGGGAACGCAGAAACCTCTAGACATATCTAGCAATAAGGATCTGGAATTCAGCTGTTTCTCCAAAACCTTATCAAATACTGTTTGGCTCTGGATGACAGATCGCTGGGTTGAATAAAATGAAAGGTTCAGGCAATAGCAGTACCTCACAAGTCGGAGGGAGTCTTTGCGGATATTCACCAAACTTCTCAGTGTCTTCACTGGCTCATGTGGAGCTGGAGTTACATAGGGAAACTGGAACAAAAAGGCAAATAATTATCCTATTATTATACTATAAGAAGTAGCAGCATGTTAGCTGGCATACAATTTACCCAAACCAAGAAACATCTGCCTGTAAATGTACTCAGTACAACAGCCACAACGAACAGTAATAAAGAATTCTATTTACAGATAAACTAAGCATGTGTCAGGGTGAAAATGCTGCTCTGGCCCAGCAACAGCTCATATTGGGAGTACGCACTTTAAGAAAGGGCATTTTCACAAGCTCTTTTTCTGCACCCTGAATCCTCGGTCTGGAAAGCCTTGCTCTCACAAGCTTTTATTTCCACTAAAGAAACCACATCCAGCTTGAGCAGAAGAAATGCAGCTCTTTCATGTGTGTTACAGCATGCAAACAGTGACTTGACTGCTAATCAGCATGCTGAAGCCCTGGATTACTGGGGGAAACTCTTTTTATTCTGAAACAATGGGGCAAATGTTCTGGAAAAGAAAGAGACAGGGATAGGGGGCCTCATTCTATTCTACAGTCAAGAGACCTTCTCTCACAGATTGTCTTTTAAATAAAGGACAATAATGCTTCAGACTGTAATTCTCCTTACTGGTCACAGAATCTCCAGAGAGAAATGCAAAGGAAACCGCAACCTGTACAGCTGCAGACCTGCCTGCTGGATCTCCCATCTGCTCAGCAAAGTCTGAAGGTGAAACACCCACTCACACAACTGCCAAGTTTGATAGGTGCTCAGACTGGAGACACAGCTGTGCTCCAAGTCAGAGCAACGGCACGACACAAAGGTACAGAGCTAGGGGACAGGCTTTCCAGCAGAAGGTTACTCTGAATGCATCAAGCAACAGTGCCACCACGCAGCCTCGTTAGGGTTGGGGTCCTTCAAACACACATCTACCAGATGCCCTGCAGTGATGTAGAGAGAGTGACTGACATGGAGCCACGGTAACAGGGACCACCAATACACATGCTTTCTTGGAAATGAGGAGCCTGCTCAACAGGCAGCCAAATGCTGCTGCAGCTGGACTTCAGGGCAGCTCCAGGACACAACCCTTCAGACTTGTCCCCTCAAGTCACAGAAATGTATTGGTGGGGCAGTAGCAAGACCCTGAGGGAAAACGTGTTTCCTGACCGACACGAGGATGCCACAGAAGACCCCGTGCCACAACCATAGGCAGCAGAGAATTCACGGGGCAGCAGCAACTACTTTCCTTGCACCCTGACTGCTCGGTACTGTGGTTGGTAGCACTGCTCTACACAGAGCAGTCAAGACCTCAGTTACTCCAAAGCGAGAACTTGGCCCAGGTCCAGAAAGCAGTTTTGCTGCTCTGTGTTCAAGCGGTTTTTTCCTTGAAGATTAATCAGAGCTGCCAAAGGGCATTAACTTTACATAGGCAAACTACATACCACGACAGCCTCCCTCTCTTAAACCTATTTGGCAAACGTCCCACTGTGTTAATAGCATTCTCACCCACTCCCCTCTGAAGAAATTATGAAATTCAGTGCCGGGATGTCTGCAAGGAAACCCAGGCTGAGACATGCAGGCAATTTAGCTCTGCAAGGCTAATCCCTACAGCCATAGGCACATCGGATATTTAGCTAACAGCTGCATCTTCTGCTTTTGTTGGAGCGCTGTGCAGCTGCTAGTCACAGAGCAAAGGAGAAGTGGTCAGCTTTCAACCACTGTCCTGCACAGGGCCTGTATACAGACATGGCGTAGGGTACATGATGAGCATCCCCATGTCTGCATAGCACTGTTATGTCCAGAACAATTTCCATCTCAAGTCCCTCCTTCCTAATTCTGTTGCTCAACTACACTTTCTGCTTGAACAAGGGCTTTCCGGATTCTCCCCTGCCCTACCCTGCAGGGTCCTGTTAACTAACTGTGGTGCTGAGAAGACCAATGGCACAGCCTGAGGACAACTCAGAAAGCAGAATGTGCTTGACACTGGTCCAATTCAAACATCGACTCATCTTGCCTCAGTTTCCCCCATCTGTAAAACAGGGGTGATGCTGAACTGCCTCCAAGCACTACAAGCATGAATTAACTAATAGTCACAGTTTTTCTGAAGATGAGAATCACGACATCAATTTTTCATTTGCATGTTTTGAAGCTGCAGAAGCAACTAGGAAAATAGCTGGCAAAGCAAGCAGCTCTTTTCCCTTTCCAGCACCCTGAAAACATCTCCAAATGGCTCCTACTCTGTTACCTTTTGGTTCTTTTTAAGCAGTTCTGAGATGCAAGAGAAATCCAAAACATAACACTTGCATGTAATTCCTACCTGTCCCCCACAACAGCGCTATTCCCTGTTCACAATGAAAGAACCAGCCAATCACTTGAGCAGGTAGCTTTCCACAGTCTTATAAGACACCTGTGACTCCAGAAATACCTCCATGTTCCAACGGGGAAAACTAAAGGAAAGACTTTCTGAGCAGCCCACCTAGGTTGCAAAGTGAACAAAAAAAATCACCAAATATCAAGATCTGTCTTAACACTGCCCAGTCAGGCCACTTCTTTATACAGAGAACAGCATGCACTGAACATTGGCTGGAATCCATCCGACATGCCCAGGAGCCCCGTGAAGTTCAGGCTCCAAGAGTGGATCAGCTTCCCAGCCTTCTCTCTGCGGCATGTTTTACACTCACTCGGGCAGGCAAAAAATAAAGAATTAGTCCCAAAATCTGTGCTCCTGAGGCCCTGTCCTTCTTCTGCCACTACTTCTTCCTTCTGCCCTAATTGAAAATAAGCCTAGAAGGTGAATACTGCTTCTTAGAAAAACTCTGCTTGCATCTGAACAGCTACAGCAGCTGGTGAGCCAGGACACGGGGTGGGGGAACGCTCTTGCACCTCAGACTGGAATGACACTCCCCAAGTAGCGAGGGTCTCTTAGGTCTGTGCTACCCTCCTCTATAAGCCCTACTCAAGATTTTCCAAACCAGGCAAAAGACAAAAGGGTAAAATGGACAGCATATAGGAACTTGCCTGAACAGGTCTATTCCCAAGGAAGTTTAGATCCATGTTCTCGCCAAAAAGGTAGCCCTCGGGGTGAGGGGTGTCAAACTTCTCGCCTCCCATAAAGAAGTGACTTGCAAAGTAGTTTCCTAGAAAAAAAAAAAAAAACACAGGGGAATAAAAAAAAAACCTCTAAATGAGTGCTCCCAGAGAACAGCTGGTCTGTGCAGTTTTTAATTCACAAGTATAAAAGAGCACAAGACATAGAAAATACTTGCTAGCTCACTCCTTCCCTGTACTACTGATGGCCACTGTCAACAGTAGAAAGGGGGGGGGGGGGGAACAAAACAAACCCTAGAATAAATCATTACAGTGGAGACAATTCTGTTTTAACTTGTTTTCCAGAGAAGGGACAGGGAGCAGCAAGAGTCAGCTCTTTCCAATATTGTTCTGATGAACTCTTCCTCTTTTCTCCATCCCCCAGTGCAGAGTCCCATCCCACAAACACCACCGACCTGCTCAGAGAAGGACGAGGCTTCCTCCCACTGCAAAGCCTGTTGGGCAAAGTTTGCCCTCCCTCCCCTCTTTCACTCCCATATCCCAGGGTGAGAACCACACAAAATCTTTACTGCGAGTGCTAGAGACTATATGCCTTGATACAAATTTAATTAATAATATTGGCAGTTCTAAATGCAGAAACGTGGACGTCTGGAAGAGATAAACCTTGGGACTGACTAAACTGAACTTCAGCTCTGAAAGCTTCACCGCAGATTTGTTTCATTCATCTTTAAGGTGATGCACTATAGTGCAAATTTCAGGAGACGCAGTGTGTGCAAGGTCACTGGGATTCTGGAGCACGGGATTAACCGCAAAGTCAACCGAATCGATTCAGATGTATGAGAGCACCACAAATGCAGCTTCCTCCTAGAAAGACACTCTCAAATATGAACTTCACGGAGTTACAGTTTCAGAGAAGTAAGTGTCAGGAGAGAACTAAAATAAAAGGCTCCACCCAAGCCATTTCCCTTGAAGTTTCAGAGTGGGGATTTTTCACGCACATGATGAAAGGACTGAGCCAAACGTACATTTGCTTCCCTAGGTGCAATGCAGAGACAGCATAAAATCTGTTTTAAAACGAGTCATTACAGAAGCAGTAATGGTTATGGAGGCATTATGGAAGGATTTGCAGTTCCTCTAGCTAGGAGCAAGCATGATTTACTCTGAAATGGAAGGGGTTTCATGAATGGCTCTGCTTTTTCCATTAAGGCTTTTTTCCTTTATGCTTCAAGAAAGGCTCTTCTTACTCTGCACAGATGGCAGTGCTCAGCTATTGCTGAGCTCAGCTTACAAGCATCCAGATGTTTATATTACAGAAACACATCCTTCTTTCCAGATACAACAATCAATTTCAGCGCAGGTCCAGAATCCACCCCGAGTCTGTCCTACAGAATCCGTGTAACAAAATGTAGGTGCTCCAAATGACAGGCAGCCTTTTCCCACCCCTCCCAGAAGCAACAAATTACAAAACTAATCTGCATATAATCTCCAAGCACAGCTAGCTTGATACAGCCTCTCCACCCAAGATACACTGCGGTGGTTTATGCTTATATTAAGGTTCAGCAAAGCATGACAAACGCTGGGGTTTAGGCATAGATTCCTCATTTTACATGGGTCAAGTAGGATTGTGTTTTGGAGCATTTTATCTGATTAACTGTGAAGACAACTCTTGTGCAGGATGTCTCCGTACCGCAGCAGCTGATTAGCTGGGATCAGAGTCAGACAGCTCCCTTATAGTCCATGAACGAGACGTCCTGGGGCTCAACCCACCTTGGTAAACCTGTATTCCACAAATTCAGAGGAGACATTTTTCATGGAAGAAGTTCTGCATCCCACATGCAGAGGACGCAGAGCCGCAACAGGCAAGGAATGATCGCCACCACTGAGACCCCGTGCCTGTGGGGAGCCAGCTGTCCGGGAGAGCATCGCCAGGCAGCCTCTCCGGCACCTTGGGATGAAAAGGTCTCTGGTACAACTGGAATGACACCGAGATGCGTAACTAGCATATTCAAGGCACCTGCCACACTGCCGTTGCTCCACTAAGAACTACTTTTGGGATCTCTAACAAATTGTTAGAATTCCTTACAAACACATGCTACCCGCTGCAAAACAGCGGCACTTATCTAACTGGAAACTACAGCTTCAATTCCACGTTCAGACTGAAGGCTCCCTTCACCTTCCTGCTAAATCACCTCCTGCAACGTGAAAGAGGCAAACAAGAAACATAGTCAGTGCCAGTCACAAAGAACACGAGGAAAATCACTTTGAAGAGCTCAGAGGGGAACAGACTGGTGAGCAGAATACCCCTGGGTTCCCCCAGTGCTGCTACGGATACAAAAGCCACCGCATACACAAGCTCTCAACAGCAAAACTAACAAACAAGGGTGGCAGCAAACTGTCTTTGCAAATTTGTAACACGGTTTTTAGTGGCTAAAAAAAGATATTCTATTGCAAGCTTTCAGAAACCAGTTGCTACCACAACACATTAAGTTCAGAGCTCTCAAAGTAAGACCAAAGTCATGCATTATTCCCCTCAGCCACTGTCACAAGCAACTCAGTTTGCTGAAGTTGGCAACAAAATGCTTTAAGAAAGCACTTCTGTAAATATCACACCAAGGACTAAAGGGACGAGGAAACTTCAAGAAGGAAAAACTGAGGTATCCTGTTTTCCCGTCACTGTGACGTCCATACATCTAGGATTTTTAGTGTCTCTAAAATGTTTAGTGTCTCTAAAAGTCTTGAATGTATTTTCTATGCATTAAAATCCTGCTGCAGCTCCACCTCTAGGTTCTATCTCCAACTCCATTACAAGGACAGCTTTAGCCAGAATACCACACCTCTTGAACCCTGTTCCCACATGGCCCCCAGCCTATAAAACAACTTTGACCCACCTTACGCAGGTGTTGCAAGGTGTTACACAGAGCTCTGTAGCTAGGGACACAAGGGGGATGCTAAGCACCATCGTCTACGGCAGGTAAAAAAGAAAAGCAAAAAATATTCAGATTGACCTTCCGCAGAACTGCTACAAACAGAAATTCTCCGGGAAAATGTAGCAACACACTTAGGAGGAAAGAATCATACACAAATAAACAAGGACGGAATACGAGAAAAATGGCAGAGCAAAGAACTGTGGCTTTACTTCCCCAGAGTAAATCAGCACAAAACATAGGAGAGCATTAGATAAAAGAGAACACGAACGGGCGACACTGCTAAGGTAGATGAAAAATAAGCAGTGATTGTAAGAGAAATTGTTGTGGTGAAAAACTGTACAGTGGCTGGAAAAACACCACTGGGCCACCCAGAATGGCCAAGTCTGACGCATTAGTTTGTCCCATGCAAAATCAAACTGGAACCCAAGGCTTCTCTAAGGCATCAAATGACACCAAAGCACTTAACATTTAGTCCAACACGGTGGTGGGGTTTTATCATCATAAATGCACCAACATTAAGCACCAGACTGCTCCAGTCATAATTACTTTTCCCTAACCCAGTGTACTAATCCCATTACCAAGCAAACCCAACATATGGATGTGATGCACAAGTGACACACTGGCAGGGGACACAACACCCTACACTGGCCAGGAGCACAGTCGACAACACAACTGTAGCCCCATGAAAACAAGGGCTGTATCATACAGCATTCATTAACAGAAAGCAATTAGATGTCCCTTTAGGCTTCTCACTGTTATTAGAATTAACAGCAAAGTGATAGAAATTGAGTCCTTTTTAATTACTCAGCCAGACACTCACCACCACGGCATGCCGAGGGACGGACTGACAGCACAGTCCTAGACACAGCCTGAGCCTGAACCAGCATCACAGATGAATGAAGCCATCTTGCTTTCCTCATCGCCCATCCCTGTTGGGCCACCAAAATCAATCATGTAGCAAACAGGAACGTGGCTCTGAGCTGGGTTAAATATAATCCAGCAACAAACAAGTAGCAAAAGCAACTGCTTTTGACCCATGAGCGCTCCAGTCTGGTGCTTGCAAGTAGCTGGGGAGAAGGCAGGAAGGGAATGCTCCAAGTCAACGGCAGGCGACGGTGGCTGTCACCAGCAGGGTTGGGCTGATACAGCAGCAGTAATGGAGACAACCGCTCCGCTGTGCTTTGCGGAGTGGGTGAGGAACAAAAGCTACATGTGAAATACGGGAATGTATTTCTGTCTTGACACTGTCACAGTACACATGGCTTGTGAGTTGAGAACAAGGGAATGGACTGCGTACAACTCTGGGTATTCTCCTATTTAAAATTGCTCTTTCTTTGGTTAAAGCATCACTCCCAAATAACAAAAGCAGTTTGGCTTCAGAGAGTACTTTGCCTCCTTTTTTTTTCCTCCCAAAAGCATCCAGGGAATTCTCTTTCAAGAGCCTACTCCAGAGGAGAAAAGCCATCTCAAGGGCACGTGCTCCCTGCCCTGCTCCACACTGCAGATGAGCTCACTGGAACAAGAGATGAGCTGACGAAGGAGCTGCGGAAAACACTGGTGCATTGCTCACTGGTTGCTAAAGCAATAAGGGCATCATGAGACTGCATGCAAGAACACGGATCGTTTTACTGCTTCAAGCACAGAAGCACAGCGAAGATCATGACTGTTCCTTGCGATTACCCATTTTTAGCCTGTTTCATGGGGGTACTAACTCTTCTGTACAAACCAGGCCCTCCTCCAACCCTCTTCCAACTGGTCAGGCATCTGCAATGCCAGCACAGCGTTCATAAAGCAAGCAAGAAAAGTTAAAAGGTACCAGTGGAGAGGGATTAGAGAAGGGAACTTGGCGTCACCTTACAGCATTTCAGCAGCCTCAGCCCCCCAAATGCAGGAGTGGAAATGCAGATGATCCATACCCAGAGGTTTGGAGGAATAAGCAGGGGATTTTCAGAGGATTTTTAACTACATAACTGCATACAGGTTGCGACAAAGCTGTTAAACGGGACCCTGGCTCACAGGGACAAAGGTGGATTCCACAACAACCTGCTCGATCCTCCACAGAGCACGTGACTGACCCAGCAAGAACAACATCAAAAGTCAATAAACAAGAACTCAACAAGGTGCCGTCACTCAGTACAACCTGGTAAAGTAATCGTGCTCCTTTTCACAGGCAGGCTGACGTGTGGCTTAAATTACAGTCAGAGTATCTGTATTTTGTGTTTATTTCCTCACACCACATGTCCTTCTTGTGAGGTGGTGTATTTGCTCCAGAACGCAAACCCACATCCTTCAAACCAACACTGACCATGGAAGGCAGCTGACCAGAGCTGCAGCAGCTTGCCCAGACACTCGCAGTTAAGTCAAGATCTGCTTAAACCAGAGACTCAGAGGGAAAGAATGTAAAAGGCAACGGACAGCACTCGGTGCTGTACCAGACTCCAGCAGATGAGTGACCTCAGGTAACACTCTCCCACCACATCTTCCAGCCTTTCAGGGGTAACCTCTGAGCAGCCAGGAGACTGCCTGCATGTCAGGCTAACACTCCCACGCACACATGCAAACATCTAATACAGATGACGGAAAACTGGCTTCTTCCAGTCAGGCAGTCAGTAGCAGTACAGGGCTTACAGTGACAGTGTCAAGTTCAAAATAATTAGCAACCATTTAACCTAAGAACTTTTTGTACTACTTCCAGCTTGCTTCCTGAAATCAAATCAAATCATACACACTCGCTTCCAGTCATCTTCACGGTCAAGTTTTGTACCAGTCATAGCCAATCTTTCCAGCCCAAGACAAACACACTTAGGACTGTAGGACCAGAAGGGACAGCGTCCTTCTGAACACACTCCACCTGAAGAAGGGAGGGGGGTGCCATCCTAACAGCCTTTTCTGTACTGGTGTTTAGTAACCTTCCTTGAATCTCCACCTCAGAAGCGTTCATGACCTCCTCTTCTGCCTAGAATGATCTTGAGCTTGAGCAGCTCTTCTTCCTTCCTGAAGTCAAGAGGATCCTGGTTGGATAAACCTGAAGAAGGTGAAGAGAAAGGTCTAGCCTAAAGCCAGTATGCTTTCAGAAAGAGCACAAGCAAGTGCAGCAGGAAATTAACACACATCTAATTGTATCCAAAGCCTTTAAAGGAAATACCAACATTTTTCTTTAATCAGCTGCTTGAAAGTATTAGCTGTTCAGTTTTACAAGGGAGGTACCACGCGTGGAACACGCTTTGGCAGCATCTAGATCAACAGGACCCTTTCAGGGTACACGAGAACACAGAGACCCAACCCCATGTGTGTGGTGGGGTTACCTTGGCAAGCACATTGGCTAAAACCCAACAAACCATTAAATTCCAGTCTGGGTAATTACCACAGTACAGAAACAACAGGACAATGATTTGAAAGAAGCAGTTTAATGTTCATTGCATATGGTGGTTATAATTAATCCAGTCCATATACAAAATCCTGTCTAAGTGCCAACAGAAATCAGATGCAACCTCTAGGCTGTAAGAAAATTGCCAGCAGGGCCCATGGCACCACAGCTACAGCTTGCCAGGCAGCTCATGTCCACCCAGTCTCCCACACTGGGAAAGCCCCCCAGCCATCCAAGGGATGCGCAGACTCCTGCTGTAACTTAGCAGTGACATTTGCCTTTCCTAGCAGCCCAAGAAACTAGTTCCTGCTGCCCTAAAAAAGCAAGTTAGATGTGCTAAGAGAGCCAACACAGCTGAAGAATTTCTCTAAGCAGGTTTCCCCCTTCCATCTCCTCCACACCACCATTCTTGCTGAAGGCCAACCTGCAACAAAACAAGGTATAACGATGGCAGTATTCTATTTGAGATCTTGCAGAGATTTGAGATCCAGACAAAAAAGGGGGGACCTAGCTCCCTCCATCACACAGCCCTGAGGATGTCACAGCCAGCT